GTTGTTTTTCCGCAGTCCTTGGTGATCAGTGGTTCAGCTGAGGTCCTACGGCAATCTGCACAGCATTGCCGCCAACAGATCAGATAAATGCTCAGGGGTTAGCAGTAAGTGCTGATGGTGACGTGACTAGCTATGTCTCGGAGTTCAGCAAGGAGCCAACTAGTGTCGGGGACATCTCGGCTGGAGGGCTGGCTTGCAGTAAGAGGAAATATTGGGAAGCTGAGCAGGGGGAGATGCTGACGCGTGGCAGGAATTTCGGAGGCGTTGTATGAGTTCAGTGTCTCCGCTAAGCCATCTGATGTAGGAGCCCTAGAGATGGGCCCGACAAGAGTATAGAAGATGGCGAGGTTAGGGTGTAAGGTGGACAGCCAAGACATCTTGACTTCTTAACTAAAGAGTAATATTGGTGTGGGTGCACACACATAAACACACATACAAACAAACACACACACATGCAAACACAAACACACATACATACACACATGCACACACACATATATAGATAGATAGATAGCTGTGTGTGTTCATATATAAGTGTATATGTATGTATATGTGTGATACTAGATTAGATCGTTAACAGCATCTTATCCGAGCTGTCAGTATTGTTAAGAATATCGTTCCACACATATGTCCGTGGTCGAAACGGAAGCTGTACCTTCCTGTCGCAGTCCTCCTGTGTTTACATCAGACGAAGCAGCCGATTTGCACCTGCCACACCCGAGCACGGTTGACCTAAGGTGACCTACTTCTCCAGCTCGAGCAAGCCCTTTGTCTAGGCTGAAACAGACATCTCCCGGAGCCAGCATAGAAGGACACGTTCGGCGGAACAGGAGGAGAGCAGACGGAGACACGCCAGACAACGGTCTCGCTCGCCACCGCTCGCCCTCGGCACCCGGGGCACGGGTCTCTCGTGGCCTCACGCCTTTACCTCCCCTAATATACCCCCCAGATAAGTCCCCTTTCATTCGCTACCTTTACGTCCCCAGCTTTATCGCAATGTGTATATGTATGTAAATGTGTGTTATTAGATTAGATCGTTAGCAACACCTTATCCGTGCTTTCAGTATGACAAAGGCGCTGATTGCGTCATTGTAACCAACGGCTGTTACTCTCCCTTTTTGCACACGGCATAGCGACGTTTGTCTGCAATCTCTATACTTCACGGGTTCTTGATTGATTGCAAATTTGTTTTTATAATAATCACGCCAAGGAAACAGCATATTATTAATAGCTGTATAAATATCATAATATTGATCTTGGTATATGTTTGAGGATTGATTTCAGATTTTTATATCTGAATGTTTGATCTATTTAACCGAGCCATCATCCAAGGCCGTTTGTGTCGTCGATAATGAATATTGCACCATCTAATTGCAAAATGTATTGTATTGGAAGAATGGGTTTAGAGCAGTTCATCATGTGCTATGTAGTGCAGCGGTAGTGTTCTCGTCTAGAAATCTTGCTGACCTGCGTAATTTATCAGCAAATAAACAGACATCATATCACAACAAAGAATATCCATTGAAACAAATGAAATTAGACTAAGTTATTATTCATTACAATCAGGGAGGCTTCTCTCACCCTGTCTATTCGGGATACATCTAGAAAGAAACATAGTCATATGATAAAGTAATTATAGCACTGAGCTGAAGAGGAATGATGCTTTTTAAGTTGCGTAAACGTTTTAAGAACTTGTTTTTGGATGCGGAATGGTTTACATAAACCGGGTATATATCTGTGAAAGGTTATAAGTATAGCACTGCTGAATCATATTTGCCATATTTGCTTCCGTTACTCATATCTGCTTTAACAACTAACAATAGTATCCCCCTCAGACTGGACAGAGAGCCAATCGTTGTTTGACTTGCTTTATTGAATAGCACCTTGGTTGACCTACGTAGCAGCGATCTCTCTCTCTCTCTCTCTCTCTCTCTCTCTCTCTCTCTCTCTCTCTCTCTCTCTCTCTCTCTCTCTCTCTCTTCTCTCTCTCTCTCTCTCTCTCTCTCTCTCTCTCTCTCACACACACACACACGTTCTGGTCGTGGAAGAATGAAGCGACCGATGAGAATATCTGCTTGCTATTAATTCTAAATAATTTGCGCTTTACTGTATGTATTTTCCTCAATTCAGAATGTGACAAAGGCATTGTAATGCAGTTCATGTGCTGCAGTGCTGTGTTCCCGAAATCTGATGCGAGGTGCACAACTTCCGAAAGACATGAAAAGCCTCACTTCGTACACCCAGTGCATGCAACACGCATTATGATTATTGTCGGACTAAAGAAAATTAATATTCTAAATTTATTGCAATTAAATCTAAATTGAAAGCAATTCATTAAGATTAATTGCATTGAAGCAATTTATTCCGGCAAAAGCTTATTCTAAAACAAAACACCGGTTAGAAATTACCACTTTCACTTTGGCTTTTTACGATTAACGCTCGCTTGTTTTTTTGCGCTTTTCGAATACCTCCAGATAAAATGCTTTCTTGAATATTCTCCCGGACGCATTACATGGAGATTCCTTCAAAGGAACAAGAACGTTACGGAGACAAGACTGGCATCGAGTTTCTTGTTTGGAATTTTTTGTCTAATTAATAGTGGCCCGATTTTTCTGTACTCTGTTATCTAATTTACCAGCTACAGTAAATAGACACACGGAGATACATAATAATATCAACTGTGACATCTGTTTTGCTATTTCGTGTAAGGCTGAATGCAAAGAAGTCGATTTAATGTCGTTTTAAATCCCAAGTGTGTGCACACCCGCAATACGAACGGTCGACCTTTATCCAGTCGAACATGCAGTGGTGAGCTAGTAACTGCGTAACTTCTTAATCTGCACGAGAGAACACGGCATGGGAGGTAATACAGCAGGTGGTCTGAATGTCAAAACATTTTCATTCCCTTGCTTTATACTGAGACGAAGCTTGGGAAAGCCAGCAATGTCACTTTGAAACATGAAGACCACCTCGTACAGTGTTTAGGACTTTGCTAACTCTTCGCCGAAATAGTTTAAGAAGGGACGTCGT